GTGTAGGTAGAACGACCAAGATTTTGTGGCCCATATTTTGGTTTCAGTCACCTTTCAATGCATAGACATAGACTTACCTCGTTTGTGCAAATTGATCGTCTTGTCAGGGCGACTTAATTGGACGCACCTCATCCGAAATACATTGTTATAGTAGGTTAGATCATTCCCAACATTTTGCCGTGGATTTGGTACATTCCTACACTTTCCCCCGGCAACGTAGTCAACATCATCAGTTCGTCTTGCCATTTTCAGCACCGAATTACATTGAACCTAATCAAAATAAGTAGAACCACAACATTTGCGGATTGTCACACAAGAGACTATGACATGACAAGTCATGGATAGAAGAAGTATAGGATCGGCGAAGACTAGAGCTCGTTGGCTATTAGTAGACGTGTTTGATCATAGACATGCTCCATGAAGCGAAGGCTTGAACATGACAATTATTCGGGATCTTTAGCCTCCGGTTAGTATTCCAGACGCCTCGAGTAGTACAGAGAGAGTGGCAGGAGTCGAGTGAATTACTTGGACGAGAGAAAGAGCAGGCGGATCCTACGGGGCAAGAGGGAGACTCTTATAAAGCATAGGGAAGGAGATCAATATGGAGGATTCTGATCCATATTCCTAGCACAAGGGTGAAGGTGGGTAAGGGGGTGAGAAAGCCAGTTGGGGGTGTGGAAAGTTCTCGTTAAATCCGCTCAAAAGGGCACACCATACCACATTTAAATAAGCAATTAAGAAATTGTTATAGTTAAAGGGTGATGCAAGAATATAGGATTGATGAATCGCCCAGGGCAGAAGGAGAGATTCCACAATTTCTTAGCAGACAATTCGTCAGAGTAGCGGCTTCCCTTGTCTCTTTGATGAGTTGTAATGTGGTGCTAAGACTGGCAATGACGATGCCGACTAGGAAGCCGGATAAAAGTCTGGGAATGTACCATGTCTAACGTCAGACTCTGGAAATTATCATGCATAAAATAGACTCCGGAAAAGGCATCTTCCTATATATTTTCATAACATGATGACCAAAGTGCGAAAACGAGGTCAGACAACTTCTGTACAACTCATCAGAATTGCGAAAATTAGGCGAGACCACTTCTATACAGAAGCGGATAAGTTTGTGAAATTGTGCTGAATTTTTTTCCGCTTTTTCTTCCCGTTATTCGTCTCTGTCATGCCGGATTCAATCCTTTCCGGCAAGATTAATAGTGTACTATTTTAAAGGAGAAAAGCGTAAAATCCCTCAAAATAATGAAGAAATTCAGACGGTTGACTGCTTTAAGAGGACTCTGAGCTAAAAGGTCTCGGCCCAGATTAAGCTCCAGGGCGTCATGAGTTTGAAATCCGCAGGCGCGAGGCCTAACGCTAGAAAATTTGGAGAAGGCGATTATCATTAGCATTCACTCGAAGCTGCTGCGTTTATTTTGCGAAATATATATTTTTTAGTTATCATTTTAGGCGATTTCGCAAATGCAGTCCCTTCTGAATGAGAATAGATTTAAGGAAAGCAAGGTTAAGTGAAATTCAATGGTAGCGTAAGGTCCACTCAATCCTTGTGGAAAAATTCATCTACCAGTCTCCTGATCACCCCAAAGGAAATGGAGTGAATAAATATCATATATATGATCTATCCTATTTATTATTGAAAAATAAGTAATTTAGTAGATTGCTATGGCAACTACAACTGTGCTTCATCGGCCTTGCCCTCGTTGAAATTCACATCTGCCCTGTGACCCAAGGTCAGATGAAGCGTTATGGTTAATGCGAAAATGTTATACGCTGTTCGAGCCCCGCTAAGGGTCTTGAGTTCGAAGCTGTACTAAACCCTGGATAAGTATACCTATCGGGAAATCAATACCATATGAAATTCGATGTAAAAGGGAGGTCTACTCATATTGTTGTGGTAAAATTCAACTATCAGACCCATTATCACCTTAAACCAAATAGGATGAATACACATTATATATATATATATGAATGATATACTGGTAATCTCGAAAACCTACTTATAAACGAAAAATTATTTAGTGTTCGTATAGGTATCGAGAGCAGTTAGTTCGAGACCAAGATGGCTGAACTTATATTCTGGCTTACAACTCCATTCAGATGTGTGTTAGCTACATCGTCAGAGGGCTTATAAAAATTTATTAAATGGCACAAAAGTTTGCCTCATCGACACACTAACTATAAAAATGTGTTATGTAATAGGCCTGGTCTTCCTTGAATTTTATCTTCATAGAGTTTTACAGCTTACATTTATCAAATAAGCATTATTTGAGGATGTGCCTTGTAAAGTCTTGGAAGCAGAAAGTTGTCTCAATAATCTCTACAGCAAATGGAAATCCAGGCGGCTCCTCCAAAGTATCTCATTAACTGCAACAGCAAATGACTTTTGTTCAGGTCGTATCCATGCTCCCTAGAAGTAAAATCGTTAAATTTCGGAAGTTAAGTCAATTTATTTTAATTAATGTGTTCTTGAATTGCAAATGATGGACTATTAAAGGCCTCTGGATCAGGAATATTCCGCGATTCAGTTAATCCCTTTAACTCTCCTCGTTATTGCAACTTTTCAAAATTTACGACTAGAAAGTCTGGTTTCCTGGACTCCGCAGGTAGTTTCCAGTTCTAATCAAGGTGACTTTGCTTGTCAGCAGTCGGATTGACGTCTG